GGTGGGCGGGCGAGATCCGGGTGCGGCGCGGAGGGCCGGCTGCGCCCAAGAGTCTCGGGCCGGCGGGCTGCCAGGTGCGTGTGCGCGTGCGTGCGCGCTTGTGTGTGTGTGCAGTGGGTGTGTGCGTGCGCTTGTGTGTGTGCATGCGTGCAGTGCGTGTGCGCTTCTGTGTGTGTGCACTGCGTGTGCGCTTGTGTGTGTGCTTGTGTGTGTGCACTGCGTGTGTGCAGTGTGCAGTGCGCGCGTTGGGGGCTCTCCGTGCGGCCGCGCTCTCTGAGAGCTCCACTTCCGGGGCCTCCGTCGTGGGCGCTCCGCGTCTCGGGCCCGTCCCACGGAAGCACGTTTCGGGCCGGTGTGGCCGGCCGCGTGGACCGCCGTCCGGAGTGCGCGAGGCGGGGTAGGTGTGGGGCGAGCGGGGGCTGGGGCGCACCCCCTTGCCTCTCTGCGGCCGGGTGAGGAGGACTGAGGCCCTGGAGGAGGACACCGCGGTGAGCGGGAAGGGGCCGAGGCGCCCCGCGCTCCCCTGGCGGCCTGCGGAAGGGTGGCCCAGTGCCCCCGCGGGTCTGCGGGGCGGCTCCGTGCGCCCTCCGCCGGCCGCTCCCCCGCGCTGACCCGCTGCAGTAGGGTCACCTCCTTCTCGCCCTGCGCGGGCCAGATTTTCCCAGCAGCCTTGCCCAGCCTTTGGCAGGGTTGGCGCCAGCCGTGGGGCCCCTGGGGCGAACGGCAGGACCCGGGACTCTGCTTCGTTCCCCAGGAGTCGCCGTGGTTTCTGGTTCCCTTCTTGAGCCTGGAGCAGAACATTTTCACGCTCAGGGCTGGAGCCCAAGTCGCAGCCAGAGTTGCTGTGTGGAGGGAGATCCCTTCTGCTGAGGACGACCCTGAGACCGTTACCCTCCTGGAGGCAGGGACAGAGAGAGGGCAGTGTCTGCGCCCGCGGGGAAGGGGCTTGGGCTTGAACGTGTTGTAGGATCAAACTCTCCCAGCCAGGGGTGGTGGGCGCACCCAGGAAGGCTTCAAATGGAGGAGCGAGTCACTGACACGCTGATGATAAAGCGAGGGCCAGGGAAGCAAGCCAACCGCGGGGAGTTTCTCGGGACCTGTGGATCTCGACTGCAGGGCGCTCGCGTCTCCCAACGGGGCTTGTTTGAACGAGGTCTAAGTGAGGCCAGAGAGTTTGCGTTTTCATCTGAGAAGTTCCTGGGTGAAAGCTGCTGCTCTGGCTACTGCGGGTGGTCCGGAGGGTCCTGGCACCATCATTTTAGAATTGCTGATTTAGAACGGGTCCTAAGTCCTGGATTCAGCCAGCACCAGCTGCAAGCCCAGCTCGCCCGCTTTCCAGCTGTGTGATTTTGGGCCAATCCCTAAACGTCTCTGTTCTTCAGTTACCCCACCTGTACAATGATGCTCATAGGGTCTACTTCCTGGGATTCAAGGGAGACTTTCTGGAGGAGGTGACATTTAAGCTGAGACCTGATGAGCACCCTGGTAGGGTACATCGAGTTCAAAGCCCAGGGCGGGGGAAGCCAGGAGCTCGTGTCCTCCTGGGAGATGAGCTCCACAGCAGGTGCTTTGTAAGTGATACCAAAATGCCGTGAATTCCCTTTGAGCAGGATCAGGGAAGCAGCCCCGGGCATGGGAGTCAGGCTGCCGGATGGGCCTGGAAGTTCCACTGGTGCAAATGCAGCCACATCACCAAGGTGTGGGAGAGGCTGGGAAGTGTAGTTGTGGTGGGCTTGCGTGGTGGAGAGCTAGTGGTCTACCCACGGTGGCTGTTCTAGCCAGCTTTCCCAGCTCTGTTCCTCCTCATTTGGTTTGCTCCAGGCTGTCGGGGGAATGAATTTTACAGAGGAGGAGGAATGAATTTTACAGCATCGCTCAGCTAGTAGTGGCACATGTGGGACTTGAACCCAGATCCTGGTCTTGCTTTTCAGCTGCTCCATGACCTAGGCTTTCCTGCTTGAAGTTCCGGCCGTGCCCCTGGGCTGACTGGCCCCGGTGATGTCAACCCGCAGTCCCTCTGTTCTTCATGCCAGCAGGGCCGGTTGTGTCAGCAGCGGATCGCCCGCTTCCCTAGCGCGATCATTCATTTCTAGCGTGCGTTGATGGTGTGTGCCGGGCCTGGCCCTCTGGGCTGGGAGCTGGCGGAGAGAAAGACACTGCCGCTTTTGTTTGACGTGCTGGTGCGGTCTGTCCCCTAGGAGGGCTGTGTGAGCGCAGAGCTCACAGTGAGAAGTGAGACGCGCTGTACTCCTGCGCTGACCTGCCGGGGGTACACTGTGTTCTGGGGACACTAGGAAGGGGTCTTGCAGATGATCAAACACTAAAATTTAAGGCCCTCATGTCCATTTTGCTAATCAAAGCTATAATTACAGTCTTGTGCTTTGCACCCTGTTGAAGCAATGGAAGAGTCCTTTCATAGTGACAGTTTTATTGGAAGAAAACACAGTGTGCTGCAAAGATGATTTTTTAAAGATCTGCTTTAGTAGATCACATGTTGGAGTGGATTTGTTTATTGACTTACTTATTTATTTTTTGGTTTTTTGAGACGGGGTCTTGCTAGCTAGTTCAGGCTGACCTTGAACTCCCTGTGCTCCTCCTGCCTCAGCCTCTTGAGTGCTGGAATTACAGCTGTGTGCCTCCATGCCCGCCTTACAGAGGCATTTTTATGAGCCTTTAAGCAGAACAAGTGTTGGCTTATCTTTTTGGTTTCCATAGCAGGTTGTTCCCATCAGTTATAAGCTCATTTTTCTTCTCTTCATGGAAGGCGCGGAGATTTGTTTTTAAAGAGAACAGGAGGGGAAGAGGGTTGGAGCTGTCGCCTTAAAAGTCAGTGGTAAATTCCACGACGGTTCTGGAGCTCGATTCCTCAGCCTCAGCGCTGCTGACATTTCACTCAGATTGTTGCTCCTTGTGGGGCTGTTCTAGGGCTTGTGGATGTGCGGCAGTACCCCTGCTGTCTGCTTGCCGTCTGCCACTTGCACCCTAGACATACAGCAGCCCTAGCTGTCTCCAGACATTGCCAGAAGTCCCAAAGGAAGCAAAATTCCCCAGGTTCAGAGCCATTGTTCCAGACTGCATTAGTTTGTTGTTGCTGCGGTAACAAATATTCACAAACTTAATGGATTAAAACAACACAGGGTTGTTATCCTGTAGTTCTAGGGGTCAGGAAGGTTAAAGTCCAGGTGTCTGTAATGTTACGTTTCTTCTGGAAACTCCAGGAGAAAGTCTGTTTCTTTGCCTTTTCCAGCTTCTGAGGCCCCTTGATTCCTTGGCTTGTGGCCCCACCTCCTCCAGATCCAGCAGCACAGCGTCTCCACATCTTTCTCTTTTTCCCTCCTCCTCCTCCTTCCTTCCTTGGTGCTGGGCATATGAACCTAGGGCCTTGCATGTGTGAAGCACTTGCTCCACCACCCAGTTACATGCCCAGCCCTAGATCTGTCTGTCTACTTCCCACTTCCCTTGTTACTTCTTTCTTTTCTTTTCTTTTCTTTTTTTTTTTCTGTACTAGGAATCGAACTCAGGACCTTGTGCTTGCCAGGCAGGTGCTGTGCCACTGAGCTGTATCCCCAGCCCTCCTTTTCTTTTCTTTTTTGCCTTGTTGCCTGCTTTCCATACAGACCTTGTGATATAATCACCAGACAATGCAGGACACACACCCCGCTATCGCAAGAGTCTTAATGATCTCCACAAAATCCCTCTTGCTGTGTAAGGTAATATAGATGCAGGATCCAAGGTCTGGGGTGTAAGCATCTCTGGGAGGGCCACTGTCTTGTCTGTCACACAGATGTTCTGGCCCCTTAGTGTGATGGAATTTCCCTGGGGGTCTGGGGGGAAGGTGACGGGGGCTGAGGGTGCGGGGATGGTCAGGCGTGACTGCAGCTGGTACTGTTGAGCACCGCATCTATGCCAGGTGCCACAGGCCTGATCTCACTGGATCTTGGAGCAACCCTGGGATAGGTACTGTTTGCTGTCCACTGTTCTATGGGCAAGGAGGCTCTCCAGGGAAGGCTTTCTGGGGGAGGTCCAAATCTGAGCCAGATTTTAAAGGGAACAGACCTGTACTCAGGAATGGGGAAGGCATTCTGGCCAGAGGGACCTGCGGCTGCAGACAGGCAGGTGCACCGTGGTCGTGAATGGTGACTGGTTCTCAGGCCTAGAAGCTAGCGGGCGTGAGCTGGCAGGGAGAAAGAGATGGCTGCGGAGACCTGTGTATTTGTCCTTTTTGTTGTTACATAAAGTAGTCTTTCCCTGTATAATTTCAGTGTTTGTTTATGAGCATCTACTGCGTGCTGGACACTGACATGACTTGTTAGCTTTTTGCCGGAATCAGCAGCTCCTCAGGTTGTACCCTAGTAGATGCATAAGACCCAGAGCAGAAGGGCATTTGATTATTGGATCAGCACCCCCTGAACAGGGGTGCAGAGGAGTCTGTCCTCCAGGACAGAGGAGGCCGCTAGCCGTGCGGCCAGGATGCAGACGCTGGCCGTGGGACTGCGGATCATAGCCTGCCGGCCACTCTGCTGGGCTTTGGGTTGTGATTCCTCTTCGAAGGGAGCAGAGAACTGACCTGGAACACAAGGGAGCCCGAGCAAGCCCAGCGCTGTACCTCCGGGTCAGCCTCTTGCTGTGCTGTGTGCTTCCCTCCCCACGGCGGCCTTTCCAGAGGTCAGCAGTCGCTTCTCCTGGGCCTGGCAGGTCGACTTGTCACACGGGAGAGACCATGTGGAGGGTGTAGTGTGGAGGGAGCCCTTTCCAGGTGTTCTTTGTTTTATTTCAGTAACAGTTGTGTCATCA